AAACACGCAATAACACTGCTGCTAAAAAGGATCAGATATTTCATTTTCTATCATACAAACTCCAGGGAGGTGGTAATTACAAGATAACACATTTGCTAAGTTTGGTTCAGGCTTTGCAGATTCAGAAAGCTTGTGTATTCCTTCCTCTCCCCTAGAGTCCTCAGGACTCGTTAATCCACACCCATGAATGTGCACACACCAGGCAGGCTCTCAAGCATTTTCCAGAGCCCAGCTCACAGGTCACTTCCTAATCCAAGGCTGGAGGAGAGTCACTCACTCCTAATGCTCTTTACCTCTGAACCTAGCACACGTGTTTCAATGAATAACTGAAATATGTCAAGTTTTCTTTGTTGCTTGTAGCAGTTAACATCTCATGAATCTGTTCTCCCCCCTTTTTTCTTCCTCGCTTAATTTCATGACAACTTAGTGGCACACACCTTTAATGCCAGTACTCTCAAGGCAGAGACAGGCAGATCTCTTTGCATATGAAGCCAACCTGGTCTACAGATCTACAGAGGGAGTTCCAGGACAGCCATGGAAAAACGGAGAAACCCTGTCTCAAAAAAAAAAAAAAAAAAAAAAAAAAACTTTGAGTGTGACTGCATAGACTCATTGGCTTACAGAGAAATAGGATGTTCTGCAATAATTTAAAAGTATCCTTGGGAAGTCTGGTGTGACCTTGTTCATCATTCTGGTAAACAGAAGATGTAAAACCTATGGTACCCTCTTTGATTCTTTAATTACAATTAAATTTTAAAGTCATTTGCATGAAAACTATTATTTCATCAGGTGTGGTAGCTCATGCCTTTAATCCCAACATTATTGGGGGTAGAGATGGTTAATTCTATGTGAGGTCAAGGCTAGTCTTGTCTACATATAAAATTCCAGGACTCCCAGGGCTACACAAAAAGAACACACACACACACACACACACACACACACACAGAACCAACAGCACAAAACCAAACACTTGGCAGATCTGTGCAACTGCAACTAACAGTGCAGAATTTGGGCATGTTTGGGGGGGTTGGGTTTTTTTAAACTACCATATTATTTTAAGGGCACTAAGTTTAAGAGCCTAGAGAACATTGAAGAGGAGTCAGTCTACCATTGCAACCTATCACCAAGAAGGAATGGGGGGGTGTGGTCAGAATGAGGAACCACCAAAATTCAGTAAGGTAATGAGCTGTTACTTACATAGAAGGTACAAGGCGAACTAGGCATGTTAGGGCAAGACAGAATCGTGAAGGCCAAAGTACCAAGCAGACAACACTCATCATTTCATTTCCTCTGAACTATGACATACTGTATTTGCCACTGCTGCTGCAGATAGAGAGGACTTCATTCCTCTTGGTCAGTGACAAAATAAACATCTCCAAAGATCCTTCCAGGAAGCCCATTTCTGAGAATCTGAAACTACCCGACAACACTCTGTGAAAGACTTTGCAAAGGTCACTGGGCTACAGTTCAGAGGCCAACATAAAAAAAAAAAAAAAAAAAAAAAGGCCCCTCTGCATTTTGTAGCCCCTGGGCTGATTGCCTAGCTTCTAAAAATCAATGCAAAAAGAAAGAAATCTCCAAAGCAACACAGAGAAACCCTGTCTCATAAAAACAAAACAAGAAATGAAGAAAGAAAGAAAGAAAGAAAGAAAGGAAGGAAGGAAGGAAGGAAGGAAGGAAGGAAGGAAGGAAGAAATGAAGGAAGGAGGGAAGGAAGGAAGGAAGGAAGGAAGGAGCGAGAGAGAGAGAGAGAAAGCACACAAGGACAATGCTTTGTTCTCCTGTGGACACTGTGGAATAATAATTCTCAGCCAGGATTTTATGTATTTATCCCACCTAAGTCAACCCTAATAGTCCTCACCATCTTGTAACATGAATTATAAAGATCCAGAGACTGATGTTGGGGTTCAAGCTGAATATCAGAAAAGCAAAGCAGCTGGTCACTAGCTTCTTACCTCTGCCTCAGGCTGAATAGGTTGATGCTGTCTCCACAAGCTCTCACCAAGCCTCTAACTGCTGCCTGTCCTCAGTGTGGCTGGAGAATGAATGCCTCCTACTGACTACTGAAGTCCCTGCTTCTATCTTTTATACCCCTCTAGTGCTGGGATTAAAGGCATGTGATCTGTTACTCTTTTAGACTGATTCAGTCTCATGTATACCTGGATGGCCTTGAACTCAGAGAGATCCGTCTACCTTTTAATCCTGAGTCCTAGGATTAAAGATGTGTACCTTTAGCTCCTAGCTTCTGGCTGCTGGGATTAAAGGTGTGTGTCTGGCTTCTATGGCTTGTGGCTGACTTTGTTTTCTGAACCCTCAGGAAAACTTTAGTATATCATAAATAATATATCACTACACCATCTCTATGTTCATTCAGTGAATTTAAATATAGAATAGGGCCATCATGACAGGTCAGCAGGTAAGAGCACTGGTCACCAACCCTAATGACTCCAGTTCTATCCTTGGAACCCACACTTAGGAAAGGCTCTACTGGACTCCTGTAAGTTGTCCTCTGACCTCTACATGCACACATAGCACAACAACATACATGGATAAATATTTTTTTAAAAAAAGTAGAAATATATTTCCCAACGCCATCTAAAACATAAACATGATATTGAATTCTTGTCAAGTTTATGTTAAATTTCCTTATAAAAAATAATCATTTTATTTAACTCTAGCAAAATGATCTCTATGATGAAGTGCTTAGAATGATGGTCTCTACCATTTTCTCTTAAATTCATTAAAATGATAACAATAAGACCAGCCAGGCCTAGTGACACAGCCCTGTACTAGCTATTTAGGATTGCTATAGCAGGAGGATAACAAGTTCAAGGCCAACCTAAGCAATTTATTGAGAACCTGCCTCAAAAATAAGAGCTTTAGAAGGAATCTGTATAAATGTGGCTCTGTTGGTTCAATTCTGCCTAGAGCAATACAAAATAATAAAATAATAATAAACTATGGGATATAATTAATGAATACTCTTGTGAGTTGAATTTTACTGTACCTTGAAATTTTTATAAAAACGTAAATTGTTTAACTTGTTCAAATTGTTTGTGGTAGCTAAATAGAAAGTTAAATGGTAGTGTGTGTGTGTGTGTGTGTGTGTGTGTATGTGTGTGTATGTGTGTGTCCTTAAGAGAGGGTGGGGAAGAGAACAATGAAAACCCATTATATACATGTAAAAAACTGTCACATGGGGCTGGAGAGATGGCTCAGTGGTTAAAGCATTGGCTACTCTTCCAGAGGACCCAGGTTCAGTTCCCAGCACCCACACTATGACTCACACTATTTAAAATTCCAGTTCCAGGGGATCTGATGGCATCTTCTGTCTTCTGCAAGCACCAGGCATGCAAGTGGTAAACAGACATAAATGCAGATAAAACATTTATACAAAGAAAATAAAAGTAAATTTAAAAAAGAAAGTGGTCACATAACAAAATGTATAGACAGATAGACAGACACACACACTCACACACACACACACACACGCACACACACACACACACACACCTATGAGTCCTAGTAAACTAGTAAACATGAGAAAATCACTCCAGAGTTGGAGAGATGGCTCAGTAGTTATGGGCACTGGCTGCTGCTCTTCCAAAGGATCCAAGTTTAATTCCCAGCACCCACATGGCAGCTAACAACTGTCTGTATTGCCAAAATCTGAAAAATCTCACACAGACAAACATGCAGGCAAAACACCAATGGAAATAAAATAAAAATAAATAATTTTTAAAGAGAAGGAGGAGGAGGAAGAGAAGAAGAAGAAGAAGAAGAAGAAGAAGAAGAAGAAGAAGAAGAAGAAGAAGAAGAAGAAGAAGAAGAAGAAGAAGAAGAAGAAACTCACTCCAGTTTCTGGAAAGAAAAACAAAACTCACTCCAGTTTCTGACTCAGGATTGCCACCATCTCCCCCAGCATGCTCTGTGAAGGACAGTCATCTTTCACCTGAGTTTTGTATCTTGACTACACCTACTGAATCACTAAATTGCCAGTGCCTTCTCCTCCCCTTGGTTCTGCCATCTAACACCAATCTGCAATTTGTAAATCTCCGAAAAGCTTTGTATCAGTGGAATAACCCACAGAACACACATTAGACACATAGGTTCTCCTTTCAACAAGACAGAAAATTCTGGATGTGTCTCCTGCTACTTCATATCTTCTTGCTCAGTAAAAGTTCAGAAACTTGCATGTTCCTTCTTATCACAGTTTCCAACTTGAGTTACTTTCTCTATTTTTCTAACAAGTTTTCTTTTGGTTTCTTCTCTGCCTCTATCCCTGCCTCGATTTCGCTCCCTCTTTACTGTCTGAAGTTACTCTCGTCTGTCTATATTCTCATATGCCTCTTTCTCTCTTGGCCTGTGAAGGAAAGAAAACACTTTTGTAGGTCAAGCATAGGTGGTATGGTGGTACCTGGTACCCAGGACTTTGGAGGGAAAGGCAGAGGGATCAGGAAGTGTTCAAGGCTGTCCTCTATTACATAGCAAGTTTGAGGCCATCCTCAATCAATAAATAAATAAATAAATAAATAAATAAATAAACAAACAAATAAATAAATAAATAAATAAATAAAATTAACAAACAGTACAAAGAAAGAGAAAAAGAGGAGAGGAGAAGAGAGATAAGAAGGAGAGAGCATTTGTAAAAAAAAATTATAACCACATACATACTTGACAAGATTGATGATGTCTGGTGAAACTTAGATTCTGAACAGTATCCAGTTAAAACCATTATAACCTCTTTCAATAACTGCTTGATCTTACAACTGGGCAGCTACAGTCAATGTGTCAGGTAAAACATAACAGAGTGTCCATGTCTGAATAGAAAACTATTGTAGTCATATTTGAAAACAGGGCATTCTGTAGATCTTACAAACTTATTTAGGGTTTTGCTTTGCATCAGTTCATAATAAAAGATAATTTTGTGTGGAAAAAAATAAAACAAAACAAAGTATACATCTAAGCCTACCCCCTTAGGAAAGGAAAATAGCTCTTACCTGACAAATCTTGAAGTCTTCTCAATTTCTCCTTATCCTCATCACTTAAGATTCTGTTTGAGCCTTAGGAATTAATTCACTAGCACACAGGAAGCCTGGAAGACTCTGTGAGACACCAGCTTTCCCAGTGTTTAATACTCTCCAGAGACAGAGGCGGGGGTGGAAGGGAGGCTGAGTTTATACTATGATAGGGAGCCTGCACTCATACATGCTTTATTGTCATTAACCAAAAATGGTAATTTGCCTGTAAACACTGGCCTTGAAAATTAACACACAAACATACCAGGGAGAACATTCTCAAAAACAAAAAAAAAAAAAAAAAAATAGTAATAAGGAAATAACACAAATGAAACCAACTTTTTTTCAATTCTAATTAAATTCTGCAGGGAAAAAAAAATCATCACAAGTATCCCTAATTTAATGTTTTCACTTTCTGTGAAGTCTCTAAACTATAAGTTTCTTGAAAGTATTCATTTTTGAGTCATTCATACACCTACATACTCTGTAGCAAAGAGTCCTATACATACTCGGTCTCAACACAATATATATAATGGATGGATGAAGCAAAACCTGATGAACTGGACAAGGACAAACAGTGCCTACATTTCTAACATTGACATGGGAAGTGTGAACATTCATCTTGTTAACAAACGCATGAGAATCAGATTAAGGGGCACATGGAGTCAAAACACATATTAGCATGTACACGTGTATGTGCATGCGTTAGACTAAGAGACTGCTCTGGTTGGATTTCTGCTGCTGTGATCAACACTGTGACCATACGTAACTTGGGGAGGACAGGGTTTATTTCATTTTACAGCTTATAATCCATCATTAAGGGAAGTCAGGACAGGAATTTAGGACCTGGAAACAGGAAGTGAGTCAGAGTCCATGAAGAAACACTACCTACTGATTTGCTCAGTCTTGTATGACTCAGGGCCACCTGCCCAGGGGATACCAACACCCACAGTGGGCTGGGCCCTTCAACATTAATCTTTAATCAAAAATAATAATAATAATAATAATTCCCTGAAGACTCACCTGCAGGCCAATCTGATGAAGGCATTTTCTCAGTTGAGGGTCCCTCTTTCCAGATGATGGCACACTGGTAAAAATAACTAACAAGCACAGAGTTAAAACTGCTATAATCAAAGACCCAACAAGTTGGCTTAAAGGAGAAAGATTTGTTTCTTTCTTGCATGCATAGGTAGGTATTACAGGTCAGCAGATGGCTAGCTAGCATAGTTCACACAGTCATTCCGGGACTGAGGCTAATGCAGATGCCGTACTCCATAGCTGGTACCTGAGATTCTTGCAAGCATCACCCAGACAGTCAATGGGAAGTATGAAAGGGCTAAGCCCAGGGACATCCCCCTAGACAAGAAAAGCAGAAGCTGCATTGTTCCCACTTGTGTCCCCTTAGTCAAAACATGGACGGTAACCCTATCCAGCTACAAAGGAAAATGTGAGATCTCTCTCCAGCTAGACAGCCATGTACGCAGCTCGATTCCATGATCATGTAAGAGTGGCAGGATAGACAGACAGACAAGGGTCGAGGAAATGGTCATCACCATCACATTTCGGACACATCAGTATTGCCATCATCTTAAGAGCTGAGGGCACATGCATGACATGAAGTACTATTTAGTTTCTGGCATAACTATTTGAGGAAACGGGGTCAAATAACGTTTCCTGGAACAAACTGTCACTAGAAAGACAACCTGTCATTAAGAGAGTTGAATTCTCATTTCTCAGTGGTTTTTTTTTTTCCAGACTTGATAAATTTGCCAGAAAAACCTACGGAGCCTCCTACACAGAGGATTAGCCCCAAAGTGAGGGACCTGCTCACCTTTCACCAGCTATTCCTTGATTATCTGGGACATGGGACTAAAAGGAGTGGAATGCTGCTCAGCTCAGCTTGGAAACAGTTGCTTAGCATGTAGGTGAGAAGCAGCCATTGTTCATTAAGCGGTTGATTTCCTGCAAGAAGCAAGTTATCGTGCTTAAAATCCCACCAATAGAATGAAACTCAAATACTTCAGGCCAAAATGCCACTTCTGCCCAGGGACTAGCCCAGCCTGGGTCTGAGAAGCTTCTTGTTGCAACAAATAATGATTAATGAAAAGACTGGCCCGCTCCTGCTCAAGGTGCTGAGTGTCGTCTGTGTTACCCCTCCAGGGCTCAGGGAACATCCTGGAAGGTGGAAAGAGCATCAGAGCCAGGTGATGTGAAGGTGTATCATGAAGGCTCGCTTCGGGGCATGATGTGGCCATCGCGTTCAAGAACTCCTAGCAGCGCGGTGGCTATACTGGGTCTATAAAAGGATGGCCTGTCACTCGGTCTTGGATCTGAGGATGCTCATGGTGCTGCTGCCGCCTCCCCTGAGGCTAACCCGTTCAGTCCTTCAGGCAATCCTCTGAGAAACTATACAGAATGAACCTTGGAGGCCGCACATTAAGGAGCAATTATTATCGTTCAGTGGTCGCTTCCAGGACAAGGGTAATGCTTGGCGTTTCCAAGCTACACTACAAGCAGGCTTAGTAAATTCCCTGCACACTGGAGAAAGTCCTGGGGCTATGGTGGGAAAAGCTCGGAGAGGGAGGCTGTGTGCATGCGTGTGACTTGCTGCGGCTTCCGGTGAGCAGCTTGAGTTCAGGGATGCTCTGCGATCCAGCACAGACATGCTCACCAACGTTTTTAAAATGGATGTTGTCTCAGAACCTCCCCTTTCCACTCGCACTGTCTAGACTCACTAAGAATGGGACCAAAATCCCAGGTCAGAGTCAACAAAGCCTTCACCTCTTGCTGCTGAGAAACAAATTTATGCCCATACCCGTTATTGGCCCCATTGGACATAATGGACTTGTTCCTGGCTTCAGGTTTTCCCTCGACAGATCATAAACTGTTCAAGGAGAAAAAAAAAACCCACCTCATTTACAACAGGTGGCACGCAGTAGGCTCTCAATAAATATTCACAGAACAGATAGGTGAAAAGATATCTAAAAGTCCTTCTCTGTATTCTTGTACCTGTCAAGACATTTCTGCCCCAAGTCACTTCCTGATGTTGGGCTATAGAAGCCAGGCTGCTGTTCCCAGGAGATCCTGGTGCCCGACATAACCCAATCTCCATGGAGAGGATGAGTTCTCTATGAAGCTGGGGGTTTTTTGTTTGTTTGTTTTTCGTTTTTTTATTTTTTTTTTCATTTTTCTTTTTTATTAACAAAAGGACATGAAGAAACTTGCTTTCACAAACAATGCTGTCAGGAACTCAACCGTTAAAAATCACAGTGAGAATGAGACACCTCCTTCCTGCCTGGAGCATCGGAGTCATTTTTAACAGCCTCCATTTCCACATCAGGTACACAGCACCAGATAAGGGATCAGCAGCCAGCAGTCTACATGTGCCTTCACTTTGTAGTTTCCAAGGAAACAAAAATCTGAAGTTCTCAGCGTTAGAGTGAGCCAGATGTCAATCTCTATACAATCCCAGCCTTGCCTTGAGCTAGCATTTAACGCTTTGTTGCAATTTCATCCAAACCCCACTCCTATGAATAGCTATGCCTCCCTCTATGGCTGGGGACCCCAAGGCCTCTCTGCTCTCTGGTGAGGGATCCCTCTGACTGAGCAAGTTAACCTAATTTTGTTGGGCATCAGCAAGGTCTTTATCAGATGAACTTTTTCTTGCTGCTTTATTTTGCTGTTTGGTTCGGAGAGAGGCTTAACTGGTGTTAGTGGGCACTGTCATGCTCCGCTGACTGGCTCACCTCTAGCCAGTTTGTGTGCAGCGTAGATTAGTGCAGACTGCTAGTCATTGCCATGAAAATCACATAGAGACAGAAAGAAAAAAACTAAAACTGGGCAGGTAAATGTCAATCAGAAGTCATGACAGCATTTTTTTTTTTAAATAACTCTAAGGTGTAATGGTTTTGATTTCATTATCATGTAGCTTTAGGGTTTGTTTGTTGTTACTATTTGTTATGCTTTGCTTTGTTTGAAGATCGTGCGTGTGCGTGTGTGTGTGTGTGTGTGTGTGTGTGTGTGTGTGTGTGTGTGTGCCACAAAGGTCAGAGGCATCAGATCCCTATGGAGATGGATTTACAGGGAGCTGTGGATGCCCAGCATGGGGGCTGGAAATCCTACTCAGGTCCCTCTGCAAAAGCAGTAGCCACTCTTAACTGCTGAGCCATCATCTCTCCAGCCCACACTTTGTGTTGAGACAGTCTCACTCTGTGGTGCACACTGGCCTGGAACTCACAGCGGTTCCCCTGTCTGGGCCTCCCAAATGACAGGATTACAAACCTGAGCCATTGTGCACAACTTGATGGGTTTTGGAAGAGGCACTCAAGAAGCAAACACAGGCAGATCTCTAAAGTTCAAGGCCAGCCTGATCTACATTACAAGCAGCGGTAGCCACTCTACCAATGGGAAACTCCATCCTCAGCTACTTTGGGAGCTACCAATCACAAAAAATAGTCCACCCCTTAACTGACCCAAGAATCAGTTTGTGACCATGGTTGGCCAATGACAATCTTGCCTTAAAGGAGGGAAGGCCTAGTCCCTACTCCAAATGACTTGACAGATTTTTGTTGACCCCTCCTGGAAGGCATCGCCCTACCTGTGGAGTTGGGGGGGGAAGAGCAGAGAGGGAGGAAGAAGGAACTAGGATCAATATGTAAAGTAAGAAAAATAAATAAACAAATAATCTTGCCTTACCACTTTCACCACACACACACACTCACACACACACAGGCATGCACACAAACACACACAGACACATACATACACACAGACAGACACACGCACGCACACACATGCACAGGCACACACACAAACACAGACAGACACATACACACAGACACACACATGCACAGGCACGCACACAAACACACACACACATGCACAGGCACACACACAAACACAGACAGACACATACATACACACAGACACACACATGCACAGGCACGCACACAAACACACACAGACACATACATACACACAGACAGACATATGCACGCACACACATGCACAGGCACGCACACAAACACACACAGGCACATACATACACACAGACAGACATATGCACGCACACACATGCACAGGCACACACACAAACACACACAGACAGACACA